ATCATCACCATCATCATCATCATCATCAGCAGCAGCAGCAGCATCATCATCATCATCTTCCTTCTCTTCCCTCTTCTTCTCCTTCCCCTTCTCCTTGCTCCTCTGTGCTCCTCTACTCGGGCCCCACCTGGGAGGCCTCCAGCAAGGGTCCCGGCGCTCAGAGCCGCGGCTGCTGGCCGTCCGGGGAGCGGCCGGCTCGCCGCAGCAAGCCAGGGTGAGCGCCACGGGGCGCTCTGGCTCTCCTCCTCCTCGACTCCTCCTTCACTTCCCTCCTCCTCCTCCTTATCCCTGCACCCCCCCCCCCCCCCCTCCTGTGCTCGCTTAATCCCCTTCCCTCTCCTCCTCCTCCTCCTCCTCCTCCTCCTCTGCCTTCTCCTCCTCCTCCTCCTCCTCCTCCTCCTCCTCCTCCTCCTGCTCCTCCACCTCCTCCTCCACCTCCTTCTCCTCCTCCTACTCCTCACCCCTGCTCTGGCGTGCGTTGCTGTGCGTTGTCCTCCTGAGCTGTCTCCTCTTCCTCCTCTCCTTCTCTTCCTCCCCTCCTCCGCCTCCTCCTCCTTCCTCCTTCTGCCTCCTCCGTCCTCAGCCGTCCCTCCTCATCCTCCTTCTCCTCCTCCTCCTCCTCCTGCTCCTCTTCCTCGCTCCTCGCTCCTCCCTCCCTCCCTCCCTGCCTCCCCTTCCTCCTCCCGTGCTTCGTGGCCCTCGGGTCATACCTCGGGCCTCTGGCGGCCGATCGGGGCGCAGCATTGGGAGCGCATCCCGGGGCGAGAAGACCTCCAAGAGCCAACGGCAGCCTACAAAATTGCCTCGCTCCGCCTCCTCCTTTGTTGCCCCGATACGCCCGTTTTGAAACGCAATACGTCCCGTGTTCAAGACGTCCGTGTCAATACGCTGCGTGGTGGGTCCACGTATTGGCCCACGTTTTGGGAACGTGTCGCGTCGAACCTACGCTTTCAGTCCACGGATTGAGCTCCGTATCAATGCGCTACGTGCCGCGTGTTGCGTATCGGGGCAGCTGAGGCCTCCTCCCTCGATGCCTCCCGCCCCCTCCCTTGCATCCTCCTTCCCCGGAGCGCGACTTGCTCACAGCAATGGGCCGCCGCAGGTCCGACCCCTGCCCCGGGATCCGTTCTTCCTTCCGCTGCCTTTTTTGGCGGTCCCGGGGCTTACTGAGTGCCCCCTGGAGGCCAGAACGCGGTGAACAAGAAACGCCCGTCGTGATTGCCATCGCGACGAGAGGAGGTGCGGGCCTCCCTTCTCCTTCCCTCCCTCCTCCCTCCTTCATCCCTCCTCCCTCCCAGGGCTCGAGCTAAACGGTGCTGTGGCGATTTCGTGGACCGTTTTCGTTTTGATTCCGTTTGGCAGCAAAGGCGGAACGGCGACAGAGGGAGGAACGCCGAAAACAACACGAAAACGAAAAACACTGTTTAGCTCGAGCCCTGCGCCCTCCCTCCCTCCCTCCTTCTCCCTCCCTACCTCCCTCCCTCCCTCCCTCCCTCCCTCCCTCCCCCGGCACCCCGTGGGGACAGGACGTGAAGATAACCAAGCCGGTGACGCTGTGGATGAACCAAGGCGCCGTGCGCCCCCGCCTCTAGGGAGCGAGGGGGGGGAAGGAAGAGGAGGGTAGTAGAGGCAGGAGGAGGAGAAATAGGAGGAGGAGGAGGAGGAGGAGAGGAGGAAAACTAGGGTGTTCTCACGACTAGGAAAACTGAAACACGACGAGAGCAAAATTGAAACACGACAAGAGAAAACTGAAACACGACAAGGTACAGCTTATTCACGACAAGCAACTTTCGCCACCCACGGAGGAGAGGAGGAAAACTAGGGTGTTCTCACGACTAGGAAAACTGAAACACGACGAGAGCAAAATTGAAACACGACAAGAGAAAACTGAAACACGACAAGGTACAGCATATTCACGACAAGCAACTTTCGCCACCCACTTTCGCCACCCACTTTCGCCACCCACTTTCGCCACCCACTTTGTGGGTGGCGAACGAGAGTGGGTGGCGAACGAAAGTGGGCGGCGAACTAAAGTTGGTGGCGAACGAAAGTGGGTGGCGAGCGAAAGTGGGTGGCGAACGAAAGTGGGTGGCGAACGAAAGTGGCGAACGAAAGTGAGTGGCACACGAAAGTGGGTGGCGAACGAATGTGGGTGGCGAACGAAAGTGGGTGGCGAACGAACGTGGGCAGCGAACGAAAGTGGGTGGCGAGCAAAAGTGGGTGGCGAACGAAAGTGGGTGGCGAACGAAAGTGGGTGGCGAACGAAAGTGGGTGGCGAACGAAAGTGGGTGGCGAACGAAAGTGGGTGGCGAACAAAAGTGAGTGGCGAACGAAACTGGGTGGCGAACGAAAGTGGGTGGCGAACGAAAGTGGGTGGCGAACAACAGTGGGTGGCGAAAGTGGGTGGCGAGGGTGCGAACGAAAGTGGGTGGCGAAGGAAAGAAGGAAAGTGGGTGGCGAACGAAAGTGGGTAGCGAACGAAAGTGGGTGGCGAAAGTGG